TTCCCACCCCTGAGACCTAATTACCGGCCCGGCAAAAATAATGATCTGTCGATTGACCCTATCATTATATTTTTTGAGGGCCTACAGGGGCTGGCATTTAGTTACCCGTAAAACGCGTTTTTTCTAGGGAATTCCCTAGGGACATGTCGGGCAAAAATCCCTCCACCCGGGCCTTAAGGGTGTCTGCCCGTCAGCCGACTCGGTAACTGCCTCAGTAGCAGTTCCGCTATCAGAGGGATCAATCGACTGGGTGAATTTTATTTTTTGAAAATTTTAAATTTTTCAATTTCAGTGAATACCTCCTCGTTTTTCATGTTCCCCTAATACTTTTCGAAAAATTTCGAATTTTCAATTTTCAGTGAATGCCGCCTCCATTTTCATGCTTCCCTGACACTTTTTTGAAAATTTCGAATTTTTCAATTTCAGTGAATACCTCCTCTATTTTCATGCTCCACTGATACTTTTTTGTAAATTTAAAATTTTTCAATTTCAGTGGATGCCTCCTCGATTTTCATGCTCCACTGACACTTTTTTGAAAATATCGAATTTTTCAATTTCAGTGAATACCTCCTCGATTTTCATGCTCCACTGATACTTTTTCGAAAATTTTAGATTCTTCAATTTCAGCGAATTCCTCCTCGATTTTCATGCCCCCCTGATACTGTTTTGAAAATTTAGAATTTTCAAATTTCAGTGAATACCTCCTCAATTTTCATGTTCCCTTGATACTTTTTCAAAAATTTCAAATTTTCAAATTTCAGGGAATACCTCTTCGATTTTCATGCTCCCCTGATACTTTTTTGAAAATTTCGAATTTTTAAAATTTCAGTGAATACCTCCTCGATTTTCATGCTCTCCTGATACTTTTTCAAAAATTTCGAATTTTTCAATTCCAGTGAATACCAATTTCGTAACACATAAAATAAAATTCTCCCAGTTGACTGGTCCCTCTGACAGCGGGTCTGCTACTGAGGCATTTACTGAGTCGGCTTACGGGACAACACCCTCATTGCGTGTGGCGCCCTCCCTCTCTTGGGGTGCAGTACTACGATGCCGTTGGGGTCACTCAAACCCCCTAAACTGAGCTTCTACTTCAGTCAATCCTCTTTGGTGGATACACTCCAGTTAATTCCTGTTGTCATCAATAGGTGGCAGGAAACGAATATAAACGAATATAAATTCCAGTGAATTCCTTAAAGAATTCTACTGAATTGAATTTTCTATGAGTTTCTGGTGGAATCCCTTCAAGTGTCCAATGTAAAAAGTAAGCAAAATGATATTTTTCATTCAAATTATTCAGTCATATTTTCTATTAAATTTCTCTGGCTCATTCGATTTTTTCATTTAATTCTATTCTTCACTAATTTTCGAAAACCACAGGAAATTCGAGGGTAATAAATTCTAATAAAAATATCTCAATTGAATAATTTCCAGAGGGCAATCAAATTCTATTGACTAAAATCGTTTTATTTTCTATTTCCAACTTGAATTGACAGATATTTCAATAGAATAACTTAAAGCCTAGAATGAACCCCGATCCTCTAGAATTTCCTACTAAATTCGCTAGATTAAAAAAAAATGAAAAATTATAACTTCATCCTTGAAAACGCGCGCCGTTTCTGACACATGCGCAGAATGATTCGGCGGGGTAAATTGATCAGCTACAAACCGCCTACACATCTGTCATGACACTCGATGACATTTCCATTGAGGCATTTGAATTATGTCGAGCAAAACACAGAGGGATGAGTGTCACTCATCGAAACTAGTCCATCTAGATCATAAACCAGTGGAAATGTGTTAATTAAAAATGTCAATTAGACATAAACCAGTGAAAGGAGTGATGCGCAAACTCGTGGAGGTGCTACCCGCGTGAAAAAGACCACCGGTTATCGATTAGACACTCGTGTCATGGAGGATCTCCTGCAACAGATCGTGCGGGACTCACAAAATGCTAAATTGTCGAATTTACGGAAATCAGCGCAAGATGCGTACGGTAAGTACTCAACTGATACATTCGATAAACTCTGTGATAAAAAATTACGACTTGGATTTCTAGATTTCATGGAAAAACAGCAGGGATTGCTACGTGATCCCCCGCATGAACTCCGGAGCAAGTGTCTCCATGCGATTCAACTCGCGTTGGAAACTAAAAGAAGTAAATTCGTGTCCTATGGAATTTCTGGACTGCACGTACGTATATTAAATTGCCATGAAGATTATTCTTCACGGTTCACCGGGGAACGGGATTTCCGGTTTGTTTTGATAACAGCTTTGACGCCTGATGATAATAGCCCCGGCCTCGTTGATTATGTTTTTATTAAAGAACCTTGCGGGTTTTTGCATTTTTCTTTCCAAACAGAAGGTATTTCAACAGTTTTTCCATTTTCTAATTCCAATTGTGATTCCAAAGGGTCTAGAATACAATGAAACGTCAAGAAAAATTTGTTTAAAATTCATGAATTTTTTTATTTTTTAAAATAAACTATATTTTTTTAAGTATCTTATAAACTACTAGGTGAATTACATCTTTGTTCATTCAGAATCGTTACCTTGTTTTCTGTTAGTTTTGGTTTTCATGGAGAAATTTATGGAATTGCAGAAAATACTGAGGGACGATCGATTTCAATCGCCCTACGAACCCGAGGATGACTCACTCTGGCTGCCAGCTCAGATGTTGCATGCTATGGGATCCATACTATCCCAGTCCGATGATACACAAACCGACATGCTTAAGGTGATTATATTAGCATACCATCATTTCCATAAGTCCTTGTCTAATCCAGGAAGATGATAATTGGCTTATCTATCGAGTTTTCAATTAGTTGTGGCGAACTAGTGGTTTTACTAAAACCGGACAGATGATACCAACAAAATTAGAGGATTTGCTATAATTTATTTATATATCCTCCATTTTTTCCAAAACTGGGGAAACTGGTATTCTTTTACCCTTAACTTGTAAGAATTGACCCTAATTATGTCGTAATGTCTGCATTAAATTAATTAATTCCTCGAGTTATAAAATTAATAATATATGAAAATTAATGATATATGATTTTCATAATTCATATTAAGGCCCGGGTGGACTACCTATAGAACGTCATCTTTTGTTTAAATTTTATCTTTCTAGCCTAAAATACATAAAAATTTGGGATAAGTTTTGAGGTCACGAAAATCACTGGATTTGGCATGAAAAAATAATGAAAAAAAAGAGGAAAAAATTTTGAAGGGCGCTAA